CTCTCTCTCTCTCTCTCTCTCTCTCTCTCTCTCTCTCTCTCTCTCTCTCTCTCTCTCTCTCTCTCTCTCTCTCTCTCTCTCTCTCGTTCTTCCCCACACCGACCATCCCTCTCATCCACTCCACCTCTCTCACAATCCCCCTCTCCCCCCCTCTCCCTCTCGTTCTCCCTATGTCTATGGGCAGGCATTCTTCCCCGCACCACCCAGAGATATGTATGTGCCCGCGAACCCATTATTTCTTTCGTACCTGTCTCGATTCTTGAGACAGATCCGTGAAAGAGAAGGGAGGATGGGAGTCTTATAAGGGGTAGTACCCTTAAAAAAATAAAAAAATAAAAAAGCGTCCTTCCTTCAGAACATCCGTTAAAATTGGAACGATACAGAGAATGAAGATTAGCATGGCCCCTGCGCTTTCAAGGATGACACGCATAAATCGAGAAATGGTCCAAAAAAAAAAAAAAAAAACACGCAATGTAGTGCACATTTCACGCACTGTGTTACTGCCCTGCCTCGCGGAAACGCAAATCTGTGTTTTATTTTTCAGGTAAAAGGCCGGCGGCCTGGAGATTATCAACTCGTAGCCAACCATAGGTAATTTTATATCTTAGGAACTGCTAATTTATTTATTTATTTATAATTTATTTATTGATTTATTGATTTATTGATTTATTGATTTATTTTGTGGTTGTAATTCCACCCGCCAAGGCCTTCGATAAATTTATCTAACGTTATTAGGTTTGCTATTGTCTGCAATCATTATGGTCTTATGGTTGAAATTATGGCCTCGCTCCACTGCAGAACGTAAACGTATCTGGAGCTGTGGTCGCGATACATTTTCATTCCGAGTGCATTTGGTCCACAAACAGTCCCGATCCGTGTAAAATGTTGCGTAGTTGAGCGACGCCCTATGACTTTTTTTGGTTAATCAGTCCCATCCGGCACCCATGCCAATGGTAGACTGCAGAGCCCCCATCGGGTTATCCAAGCGGCAGAATCAAATGAGTCCATCCTATCAAGTTTTACCAGCAGACCTAAGAGGACCACGAACCCACCACCTCTCTCTCCAGAGCAGCTCAGTTGTGGAAAAACCACTCGGTGGCCATGCTAATCGTCTCTGTATCGTTCTTCGGGATATCCAATAAGATTGGAACGATTCACAGAGAGAAGATTAGCATGGCCCCTGTGCAAGGACTGTCTCTTATACACATCTAGATGTGTATAAGAGACAGCACACACACACATGCACACAAACACAAAGCAAACCGGCAGGCACACACGCATGAGACTGTCTTTTGTCATTGTAGCCTACTTTGCAGCAACTTTAGTAGAATCAAAGCCTGATAACCGGGCGAGGTCATCAAGTTCCTGTTGGCCTGACAATATCTGACCATTTACGAGCCAGGATGGAAATCCCTCAATGCCTGCATCTTCGCAGGCTTTGTCTACGCTCACTCCCTTTCTGTAGCCATCAGGATAGCACTCCACATAGTCAATGTACTTCATTGCCTCTCTGCCAAATGCCTGTTTCTGTTCGTAGCAGTGTGAGCACCAGAAAGCGCCATACATCTTCGCACCTATGGACTTCAAGTATTTTGCAAGTGCGATTTCCATGGGCGATGAGACAGCCGTTACCTCTGGCTCCAGCGGCGGAAGGTCAATCTCCGCTGACGATGAGCCTGCAATCGCCGACCCTACATCTCCGAATGCAACCGACAGGCCAATGAGAACGACCAACGATAATGCGATCTCTGGAGCGGCAGCTCTCTTTAGCTCTTTGAGAGAAAATCCTCGCAAAGTTGTAAAGAAGAGCGATGCAGAAAGCACCGCGGATCCAATACAGTAAACACAAGTGGATCCTGTGAGCCTTGTAGCAAGCACATACATGAAGTAGCCACTGGCCACTGCCATCATGGACGTCGTGCCAAGAAGCAACCAACGTGAATAGTCAAGGGCTGATCCCGCTTCTTCCCCGTCATGTGGACTAATAATCTGAGTCTCCCTCCTAGACAAGTCCTTCCTGCGGGTTCTGTTCCTATTTATCGAACCCAAAATACTGAGAATGGCTACAGTGGAATAAGCACCCAGGCCATAGACTGGCAAAGGGACACCAAAGAGTGTGCCATAAGCACTGTCCAGCACAGCACTGCAATCTGTGGGCCCCAACAGGCATGCTACTTGGTCCCCTGTGAGCTTCATCCATGTCAAGTAACCGGTCTCGACAATCCCTACACTCGCAAGGAATCCAATCAACTCATACGGAGGCCGGGGCCCTTTCCCATCTTGCGAAGGGTCGTCGCCACCACCGCCGCTAGTCGTTGCCCCCCTTTCCGATATCATTCGCGATGAGATTTCTGGTGCCGGCTGTAGCTCCGTTGATAGTGTATTTAAATCTTCCCTTTCATACTTTGAATACGCCACGACTTCACGATAATATATCCGACCATTGGAAGACAGGGCAGACCTCCTGCCTCTGCAAAGAATGCCTCCTCTGTGTTGCAGCACCGGTTTTACTCCCAAAAAGTGGAGGACAGCCCCTCTACTTCCGGCAGAGTATCCATCCCGTACACACTGCTTTAATCGGTGCCCAAATTGCGGGACCGCAAAGGCACCACCACCGACAAGGCGGTTCCACAGAGATTCAAACGAACAGCCAGCACCACAGGAACATGACAAGGAGGGTGAAGCACGGGCGACAACGCTGCCAAACAGTTTCGCGGAAGAAGAATGGCTGACAGGTGAAGGGGATCCAGTCGGCAGATTAGCTGTAAACGAGGCGGCGGGTGCTAAGGCTGAAGGAAGGACCACACCGGAAATGGAAACCGATCCCATTGGACCAGCCACCGGATGTTGGAACTGAATTGAGATGGGACTATGGGACTAAGGGCTGATCTCAGACCCAGAGACGGGACCAAGCTGTGATCTTCAGACCTTGCCGTTGAGACGATCCTGCCCTGAAATCCAGCAGTAGTAGCATTGGGACAAGAAGTGCAATCTTGCAAACCGAGATGTGGCTGGGCCTCCCCGTTTCTCGCAAAGCCAAATTGAGGACTCCTAACACAGACACCAAGGGCAAAGGACCGACATAGAATGCCAAGCCACCAAGAGAAATCAGGACCACTGAAAACACAGAAGTAAAATGATGCCAAACCGCACGGGGTGTCAGCCGCCTCCTCCCAAGTGAAAACCAAGGCCACATGTTTGTGCTGCTGCCTCTCTCACTCGATCAAATCTGTCCACCATGAGAAACCTCAGAGGATTGATAAGGAAAAAGTGATGAAACTCAAAGACCTTGGATGCTCAACATGCCTGGATGCACACACTCATGCAGGCAAGTGCACGAGAGTGAGCGGACGAGCGTGCACAAGAGAGCAAGAGAGAGAGAGAGAACATGGTGAGACCCGCCGGTGGGAGGGTGGAGGCGGGAGGCTAGGAGAGGCAGGCGAGTAGCAAAGATTCCATTTTAGAGTCTCGTGGGACAATCTTACCACGAGAATTGACTCTGAATGCGATTCCAAAATGCAGTCAAATTCGGCAATTGACGTCTCTCCAAGCGTGTGTCCTTAGGTCACAGCTACTGTTGCAATCTCTCTTCCATGTGATGGTTGTAAAGGATGGACCCGTAGAAGAAGCAGAAGAAGTGTCCGCCTTTCTCTCTCTCTCTCTCTCTCTCTCTCTCTCTCTGTGTGTGTGTGTGTGTGTGTGTGTGTGTGTGTGTGTGTGTG